CTCTGCAAGAGCAGCAAGACTGCAACAGTGAACAGTCAGAAGCCTTTTTTCCTCAAAAATCTAAAGCTCAAAACTCAATTCCTTTGGCTCTCGCTCTCTGTTCGTTTGTGACTCTGTCCTCTCTCTCTCTCTCTCTGTGTGTTCTAGACACTGAACACTGTAACTGTAAGTTTTCTACTTCTAATTCAAGTCTTCAAGACTTCAAGTAGTTATTTTGATGAACTTAAATCTTAAACCAAAAATTTATTTTGATGAACTTAAATAAAAAAATTATTTTGATGAACTTAAATCTATATCAATTGTTATTAACGTGAAACTGATTATCGAATTTTGTAAGTCTCTGTATATCCACCTGACCTTCAATATCTTATTAATTGTGTTTCAATATTCAGACTATTCAGTATTAATGCAAATAATTTTATTTTCATATTTCAGTTCTCGGTTTGACTTGTGGTGTTGGCAGTGTTGCCTTTCCTCTTCTGGTGTTATTTTATAGTTCATATCTGACTTAATAAGATCCCACAAGCCTAAGACACAAAGATTTTTAGGAAAAAAAAAAAAGAAAAAAAAAAGAAGAACAAATGTATCAAGAAATTCAAAGCTTTGACTTGACTTCTTGATTCTTAGAACACTACTCTTGATTGAATCAACTAAATCTTTAACCAACCACCATAGTTCCAAACAAATAGATGAAAAATTGAAGAGGGTGTCTCTGGTTAGCTAGAAACCAAGAGAGGGGGAAAGAGAAGTAAGTGGTGCTAGACCATCACTGGTCGAAAGTTACTAAGCCCCAGTAATAAATATAAATTGTCTGTTGCCTACAGAATCAACAGAACACTCACTCCAAAAACAACCATGCATAAATATATTATATAAAATTATATCTCTGGTTTAATCTTATAAATGGGTAGGAAGATTTTTCACCAGAAATGCAGAATTTCATTCCAAATAAACTCAGAAAGATAGGATCTATTATTGGGGAGAGAGGGTGCTGGAACACTAAGAATAACTGCTGTCTTTTTCTTTATTTTTAAAAGGTTTTTAGTGTGAAAGCCGACACTGCCCGATATCTCAATTGTTCTTATGGAATTATTGTTTGACAAATGAACTTGTTGTAATACAACCTATACAGCAGTTCCAATCGAGCAATCCTTCACTTGAAGACATACCATTTAGACATCTCATGAGGTATTTTTGCTTTTCTGTAAATCATATTATTGCATATTGAGCCATTGAGATTTAGGTAATCTATATTTTCTTTCAGCGAAGTATTTTTTTTAAAGTTAGTTTTATGTTGATTGTGTTTCCTGTGATTTAGATTTCTAAGATTGCTATTTAGATTTCTAAGATTGCAAGATTTTTCACAATTATGTCTACAAAAAAAGTTAATCAAATCTTACCAGTGGTCGATGATGACACAAGAGAAATTGAATGGATTGGCTATCTTGTCTATTGAAAAAGATGTGTTGGAAAAAGTTGATTTGAGCACTTTAATTGATAATTTTGCAGCTCAAAATGCAAGGTGGTCACATTTACTTTAATGAAAATTTCGCACTTTTATAAAATAAAAAATTTGCGCATGTGAAACTTATGTATAGAGGGCCTTATTTAGGAAAAAAAAAATGTATAGAGGGCCTCACATTTAAAGTCCGCCTGGAGCCTTTCGAGATTTTTTCAATCTCAGGGCCGGCCCTGGCTTTGACATCTTCAAATAAAGATGTTGCTTTCCATTGTTCATTGAAGGCGAGCTCACAAGAATATCGTATTGTTCATCTTCAAATGATGGTCTATCGTTTTTAATTCTCTGTTCCAGGGGTTTGAATTTTGTCCCCCCCTTCCGAGTTTATGGTTTGCTGTTGTTTTTCTTGCATGGGAAAATAATGGAATTTGTTGATTCAGATAATTTTGTGTGTTCATGTCATTATCGTAGTAGTCCTTAGGTGGAAAATATGTGGCGTTGAGCACAAAACATAAACTTGGACCGTAAAGAGAAGAAAGATTAATCAAATCCAGTTAAGGGCAAAAACAACATTAAAAAATGGAATGCGTAGTGTAGGGACTTCTTTTGTAATTTTATTTTAAAAGAAAATAAAAGTGGAGTAGAGTAGAGTAAATTGTTAGAGTGCCAAAATCAGCTCCCTATTATTAGTAGTATTTCATTTAGGGATGATAATTTCTCCTGACCTGACTGGTTTCCGCCCCGCCCCACCCCCGATGGAGCGGATTTGGTAGCCCCCTAACTGAGTTTGGGACGAATATGATAAAATAATTGAAAACTCGAAACGGGTTTAGGGCGAGGCCGATTTTACTGATAAACTTTCTCCGCCCCAATTATATATATATAAAATGTATATTTAATATTTTAAGACCATTGTTACTTTGCTCGAAACGTCAATTATTATTCACTACTTAGTAATTTAAAAGTTGGACCAACTTATTTATCAACCCAATTTGATCACATTGAGCTAGTTTTTTTTACTAAAGAATAAAAGTGACATAACCCACCCCTCAATTAAACGGGATACGCGGGACTGAGTTGGTACTATGTCTACCATAGTAGGGGTGATGATATTATACTGAAGATGTATGAATTTTCTCTCTCTAAGTTGACAGAATTTCATTACACTTCAAATTTTTTCTCCCCCATTCCCTCCTTTCTCCTTTCTATTTATAGATCATTTACATTACTCTAGAGCCTTCTTCACTAATTTTCGCTGCTGGGCCTATCCTCAAGGTTCAGTGGTTATGGGCCTGAATCCTCCTGGAAGGCCCTTTTTTTTAATCAGGCCAGTACACCCGGTCTGCTTTGTGGACGTCAAGATCGGGTGTACTGGACTGATTAAAAAAAAGGGCCTTCCAGGAGGATTCAGGCCCATAACCACTGAACCTTGAGGATAGGCCCAGCAGCGGAAATTAGTGAAGAAGGCTCTAGAGTAATGTGGGCGGAGTAGGGTTTAGCCAAACCCGCCTCAACTCCACCCGTTGCCATCACTAATTTTATTAAATTAGATTTTTCTTTATTGAATTAAATAAATAAGTTTTTAGTATTATATATTTTCTTCTCAAAATAGATTTCCTTTTATTGAATTTCAGTAATTTAATTTTTTAATATTATATATTTTCTTCTCTAATTAGATTTTGTTTTATTGAATTTAAGTATTTCATAGTACTATATTATTATTATTGGTGGTATTTCCTACTACTATATTATTAAATAAATTAATGTACTTAAATACTAAAATTCAATTATTGATATATTTCCTTATAGAATTATTGGCATGTATTTATTGAAATAAATTACATATTTCATTTTCTAACTAGATTTCTTTTTATTGAAATTTTAGTATTTCCTACTACTGAGTTTTATTATTAGTATTTCTCCTCTGATTAGATTTTCTTTTATTGAATTAAATAGTATTTATTAAAATAAATTATATATTTTTTCCTCTAATAAGATTTTCTTTTATTCAAGTACTATTTCCTACCACTGTATTATTATTATTAGTATTTCTTCTCTAATTAGATTTTGAAATAAATAGTATTTATTAAAATAAATTATATATTTTCTCCTCTAATTAGATTTCCTTTTATTGAATTTCAACTAATATTTCCTATCACTGTATTATTAATATTAGTATTTCTCCTCTAATTAGATTTCCTTTTATTGAATTAAATAAGTAAGCTTTTTAAAATTATATGTTTCCTTCTCTAATTAGATTTTCTTATTTTTTAAAAAATTATATATTTCCTTCTCTAATTAGATTTTCTTTTCTCTTTTTTTTTTTTTACTAATTCAATGTTTAAATAATATATATTTCCATCTCTAATTAGATTTCCTACTACTATATTATTAAATGAGTTTTTAAATATTATATATTTCCTTCTCTAATTAGATTTCCATTTATTAAATTTTAATATTTCCTACTACTATATTATTATGATTATTATTATTTCACTCTCTAATTAAATTAAATTTTATTGAATTAAATAAATAAGTTTTTTAATATTATATATTTTCCTCTCAAATTAGATTTTCGTTTATTAAATTTCAGTAGTTTAATTTATTAAATATTATATATTTCCTTCTCTAATTAGATTTCCATTTATTAAATTTTAATATTTCCTACTACTATATTACTATGATTATTATTATTTCACTCTCTAATTAAATTAAATTTTATTGAATTAAATAAATAAGTTTTTTAATATTATATATTTTCCTCTCAAATTAGATTTTCGTTTATTAAATTTCAGTAGTTTAATTTTTTAATGTTATATATTTCCTTCTCGAATTAGAATTCCTTTTATTGAATTTCAGTAGTTTAATTTTTAATATTATATATTTCATTCTCTAATTAAATTTCCTTTTATTGAATTTCAATATTTCTAACTACTATATTATTATTATTATTATTATTATTATTATTTCCTTTTATTATATTTTTATTATAAAATAATGTACTGATTTTTTTGTACCTTTAATAAATAGTAGAGGAACATTTCTTATATTATTTATAAAAATAAATTCAAACGAAAAATGATCAAAATGGAAAATATGCAAGGCGTTGTTTTGCACGCTTTTTAAGTTCGAGGATGGTTTAGTGAACAACAGGGGTCGTTTATGTACTATAACGTTACTAGAGGAATGTCAAGTGCACTTCACCAAGGAAAAAAAAAATGCAAGACAAAGGCTATTTTTTATACTATAATGGCTCAATGTGGTCAATCCAACAACTCACTATACGTTTGGAAGCTAGGAATTGGGCACTTAAAATTGGAATTAGAGAAAAGTTAATTCAAACTTTAAACCAGTTTTTCCCAATTCCAATTGCAAGGGCCAACGCACCAATTCCGTGTGCTTCCTAATGTGGCGTCAAATAATTCCAAGGATGCCATTTGGGAAATTCAATGTGTACTCCAACGGGAAACGTCAGTCAGAAAAACAATAGGCGTACTGGTTGTAGATAAACTCAACCATAAAAGCAGAGTGGCATAAAATGCTTAATTACTAGCAAAACGATGTATTCAACCATACAAATATTTCAAAGCATTCAAGTTAATAAACACATCACAAGACTTTCCACATAATATTAACAGTTCCGTCTTTCCTTTCCCCTTGTATTACACTCAAGTCATTAACTAAGAAAACCCAGAAAATTTTTCCAGCAGGCGTGTCATGCAATACCCTGTCCAAAATTGCACCCAGCATCCGTGGCGCGCAGTGCAAATAGCATACGAGAAGTGTGGACCGTCCTGACTTCGTTATATCATACCGGTCAGCAACATCATCAAGCCATGCCCTTTTTCTTTCCTCGCCACGAAGGTTGAAAGAAAAAGGGCTTAGTTATTCCTGCAGACTCGGATACTCGTCGTCATGGTAGCCCCAAGTTACATACATTCAACATCAAATATAATAGTTCAACATAAATGTAAGCAATCCCAGCAAGAACACAAAACAAATGAAAGTATGACCTAAAGTATTACCTTCTCAATTTTCATGTACAGCATCAGCAACGTCCCTCTCAGCTACAAATATAAATGTAGCCCTTGATCTAATCAAAGGACACAAAAACCACCTCCATAGATCCCCAAGGTATTAAAATTTTAAATGTGAATAAATAAAGAAGCGAGTAAGGATATATCACTACACATTGGAAATCTTGTGGATGATGAAACATGTAAAAAATTCTAAATAGTCAAAGGAGTATAAATAATATTTGTAAAATGGACTTACTGATGCCATGGAAATAAGGATATATCAGTAGATATATACAGATATCGGGGACATCTTACTCCATGGTAAGCCATTATTCTAGCCACAAATCCAAAATTCAAAATCCTCACGCTGACCTTGTAGGCAAGCACGAGGCATCAACTCTCACAAGCAATGCCATGAAGCTCATTCCAGGTACGCATTACAGGTTAGGCTGTACAGCTGAATATAGATGGCATTTCCAAGGACCATCCACCATGATATGTGGACACCAAGTCATTTGCTTCAATGCAATTCGTCTAGCTAAAAGAGAAGCCTTCATGTGCATCTTACTGTGCCAGGTACCTATTTTGCACCTTAATTAATCTTTATAATGTTGCAAGTTATATTCATGTGCTCAAATGCATAATCAATCATTTGTGTCACTTCTCACTCCCCTCATTTTTATATATTCATATATAGATACACAAATTGGTCATAAAATATTTAATATTGCTTTTTAAGCAATGAAAATCTTGATTAGACAAATATTATCACCTTTTTCCATGTTTGATAATTAAAATATGAAGTAAACCAACAAAGGTCTAGTGCCATGTCTGCTGCAAAGATTTAAGCAGATAATAATATATTTTTGTAATGCTCAAGTTAAATTCACTGATACAGGAATGCAAAGTGATGTCTTGCTTACCAACTTCACAGGGTATGTAAGTTTTAAATGTAGCTCTCTCTTTAACCTCAAAGTTACTTCCCTCAATAGAATAACAGGAAGCAAGCTACAGTAGCATTGAAAAAAGAAAATATTATACGAAGAGATCATACTTAGTTGAATGATTTTCAACTCAGCTATATCTGGAAACAACTAGGTAGTGCATGAATCAGGAATCTAATTAGGATCAATGTGTATGTTTTAAAACTTGGAAAATAGTGTATATTTGTTGAACTCATATCAAGTAAGTTAAAAGCAAAATATATACCAAAAAGGGTAAAGTGCACTAAAACCCCTAAGCTTTCTTCTCTCTCAAAAAACCATCATGAACTATCAAAAAGACACCTAACCCCTGAACTATCTGATTTTTGCAAATTGTCAAGTCCCATTAGATATTTAACAGAAATTAAGAGCATGTCTGTCACGTGAGCCAGGCAAAAATTTTAAAAAGACAAAATTACTCATCATAAGAGCTAAAACCATTAATTATGAAAAAAAAAAAAAACAAAAAAAAAAGGAGCTAAAACCATAGGCAACGTCACTACAACCACCGGCCTCCACCACCATCCCATTGTTGTAACTACCACCACCATTCCAACATTACAACCACAGCGGTGCCACCACCGACACCACCACCCCCACACTGGCGCTGCCACCACCACCACCATCCCCAACCCCACAGTCGGCAGTGGAAATCAATGGAGAGAGAAAATGAACATTGTCTCCCCCTCTCTCTCCACCACAAATAACCACCACTGGGAGCACCACCACCATCCCCACCACACAATTAGCAGTGGCACCGCCACCACCATCCCCACCCCAAACCACCACTACCAATTCCGGGTAATGAACCACCACAACTGAATTACAACTCTCTCTCTCTATTTCTTCATTGATGAGCGCTGAAAAGTGCGTATTTAAACCCTTTAAGCTTAGGCATTCTAGTACCTTTATCTATCTTACTTTACCATTTTAGATTGATTTCGTATTATTTCCATTTTCAAGCACTTATCCCGAAAATAAGCTAACTCAGCCAAATAAGAGCTTAATTGAAGCAATTCTGAGATGAATCAAAGAAAGGAGCCAAGTGGAAGCAAAAGGAAGAAAAAGGTGGAAATCAACATCTTCGATCGATTGCAGATCAAAGTTCGATCGATCGAACATAATCGATCTCAGCACTTCAAGATGGATCAAAGCCATGATGACATTTTCAGAGATCTAAAAAGTTCGATCGATCCAACATCATTCTTCGATCGATCGAACTTCTTTGTCCTTATCCAAATGATTGATCTTATCTAGTTGTACCACCCTACCAACCACTTTTGTCCTTTTCCCAAAAATATCTCCAAAATATCTCAGATTTGTCTTTATCCAAAAAGCGTCACCATTGAAGATCGATCTAGCCTAAGTTCGATAGATCTCAGCCATGTTCGATCGATCCAAGTCCAAGGTTCGATCGATCGAACTTCCTCCAGTGCGAAAAAGTTAAATTTCCAGCTCATTGAAAGTTGTCCTTTATCCAATCATTGGGGAATATTGTGTGCACGACCCCAGCTCATTTTGGGTGTCATTTGACCTACCTATATAAGGATAAGGATTGCTTTTTACAAAGGGGGAGCCTCATATCATATCTCATACTTTTAGAGAACTCTTGAAGAGGAAGCTTATAGGAGAAAGCTAGAGACACCATTGGAGACTCTTCATCAACCAAGGAGCAAATCTCTACCACGGAGTTAGCCCTTGAGGGTTGGAGAAGCACTACCATGAGTGGCTAGACATCCTCTTAGGGCTAGAGTTAGCCCCAAGCATGTTTTCTACATCTTGATTTTGTGTATTATTGAGGGATTAGTGTTGTAATGCATGTTTTGGCACTTTTATATATATAAATCTTGTTTATTCAATGATTTATGTGGTTTAATACTTCCAATTGATCATTTCATTCTATCAATATGTCTATGTATGCTAGAATAGATGTTCATGTGTTTGTCTCTATTTCTTATGTTATTGATGCATGTCTATGTGTATTAATGCCATAAATCTAGAGATTGTCAAAACATAGTGCCTAAAGGAATGCTCTTGTGATTCTCTAGATGGTTCATGCTCATTTCTTGATGGATTGTGCCTCTCCCTTAGCTTAATTAGTTTAATTTCATGTCATTAGCTTAATTGTAGTTTAGTGGTAGCATAGTTGTTAGATGGGAGGACAATCTATGCTTGTTGTTTGATGTTCCATACTTTTGAATGCAAGTAGCATATGTCTCTAATTTTGTGTTGTGTGTGGTTGTGAGCTTAATGAAAAGATTAATGACTTCCTAGATATGTTGTGTTTTTCACATGCTATTTAGAAAATATATACTTAATTGCTAGATATATTGTGCTTTTCACATGTTGATTAGACAATGTATGCTTAATTGGTCACCCGTGCTATTTGAATTAACCAAACACACACACACATCAATATTGCAACACACATTTCCCTCATTAGTCATTAGTTAAGGGTGTAGAAAAGCATTGTTTGGTGGTGACCTTTAAACCCCAAGATCTCTCTCTCTCTTTCTTACTTACTCTTTATTGCTTTCAATTATTTAGTTTAATTTGCTCTCTAGTTTAATCAACCAACCAACCATTCGTTTGATCACTCGACCTACTAACCCTAATAGCGATTCCACAACCAAATTCGACTTCAATCCCTTGAGGTGATCCCTACTCGCCCTAACTATATTATTTTTAGTGAAGGTAGTAGTGGCTTCTATAAATATAAAACTTGGCCCTCGCCTTAATGCACACTTCCTCTAAGCTTTGGTCTCACGACGAACCACCATTCATCGATGGATAAATAATTCCGGCCATCTTCGACGAAATAGTGCGGCCAATTCTCGACTGAACAATTCTGGCGAACGGCTACAATCTCTTCTCCAACGCCATCGCCACCTCGGGCCTCCAGTACTAGATCCATTTTATACCGAAGGCTCAAAAGTTCTTTTAGAAGCTCGATTGGACATCGCTAAGTATACTATTGTAGGGCAGCGTTACGTCTTCAACGTGCTAGGAGGAAAAAGGATGATCCATATGAAGATATGGATGCATAGATTGATTGGGCTTTGAAGCAAGCAAGAAGCTTGGTCCTTGATTGCGGTGAAATCAGAGATGATTGGCCACTTTCAGGATGTTCCTTTTCACATGATGGCAGTGTTGGTCTCAGCATGGTGACCGTGTGTAATTAGGGTTTGGATAGAACATGAAGTGTAGGAGAGATACGCGTGAGAAAGAAGTTGGAGTGGTTAGGGTTTTAAAATTACGTAAACGCCCAAGTTATTATGAGGTAGCAGACTCTAAGTGAGGGTATTTTTGTACGATATACCCGGTATTTGCCACATCAGGATAGAACTCAAAACGGTGCTGATGAGCGCTGAAAAGTGCGTATTTAAACCCCTTAAGCTTAGGCATTCTAGTACCTTTATCTATCTTTTTACCGTTTAAGATTGATTTCGTATTATTTCCATTTTCAGGCACTTATCCCGAAAATAAGCTAACTCAGCCAAATAAAAGCTTAATTGAAGCAATTCTGGGATTAAACAAAGAAAGGAACAAAGTGGAGAAAGAAAGAAGCAAATGAAGCCAAAGGTGGGAAGCAGCAAAGTTCGATCGATCCAACTTCAAGGTTAGATCGATCGAACACTGATCGATCTCAGTACTTCAAGATAGATCCAAACCTTGACCCAAAGCAGAAAGTCCAAAGTTCGATCGATCCAACACCACCCTTCGATCGATCGAACACTTTTGTCCTTATTCAAATGATTGATTTTATCCACAGCTGTACCACCCACTAACCACTTTTATCCTTTTCCCAAAAATATCCCCCAAAATATCTCGGATTTGTCTTTTCCCAAAAAGCTCAACCATTGGATCGATCCAGCCTCAGTTCGATAGATCTCAGCCAAGTTCGATAGATCTCAGCCAAGTTCGATCGATCCAAGTCCAAGGTTCGATCAATCGAACTTCCTCCAGTACGAAAAAGTTAAATTTCCAGCTCATTGAAAGTTGTCCTTTATCCAATCATTAGGAAATATTGTGTGCACGACCCCAGCTCATTTTGGGTGTCATTTGACCTACCTATAAAAGGAATATGATGCACTTTTTGAGATATACAATTCTAGGGAGCCTAATATCATATCATCTCTTGGAGAGCAAGCTTAGAGGAGGAGGAGGAGGCCAGAGACACCATTGGAGTTCGTCATCAACAAGGAGCAGATTTCTTCCATAGAGTTAGCCCTTAAGAGTTGGAGCAACATCACCATGAGTGGCTAGATATCCTCTTGGGACTAATTCGCCCCAAGCATGCTTTCTATATCTTAATCTTGTGTATTTATTGAGGGATTAGTGTTGTAATTAATATTTTGACACTTTGATATATATAGATCTTGATTGTTCAATGATTTATGTGGTTAAATGCTTTCAATTGATCATTTCATTCTATCCATATGTCTATGTATGTTAGAATAGATGTTCATGTGCTTGTTTCTAGATTTTGTGTTATTGATGCATGTCTATGTGTATTGATGCTATAGATTTAGAGATTGTCAAAACATAGTGCTTAAAGGAATGCTCTTGTGATTCTCTAGATGGTTCATGCTTATTT